AAACACAGCTTGGGATTTGGGGGGGGATGTGGGGTCCAAACAAAAACCAAACTCTTTGTAAGAGCCTACAACGCCCCCCCCCCCAGGCAACACCCTCCCAGCCCCTTAAGGAAGAAAGAAGGTTTGGATCGTTCTGGGCCAGACTCGAGCCATCAGCCCAGCACAGGAGCAGCAGCCGAGAGAACAGAGCAGAGGGATTCGCCCGGATCCCAGCGCTTCCGTAGGACTCTGGGTCCTGGCCCAGCCTGGCGCTCCACCCAGCCCCCCACCGACACCCCGCCCCCCAACGCAAGAGCACAAAGGGTCGGTTGAGGGTCTCTCACACCCACACCCTGCAAACGACAGCGCTGACCCGTCACAGCGGCCTCAGGCAGGTTTCGTGCCAGACGGTCACATCACACAGGAACACGGACACTCGTGTACAAAGAGCGAGGCGGATTCGCGGACCATCCCCCCGTGGCTCTGACAGCCCTGAAACACGCTCAGGCCCCTTCACGCCCGGAGCAAGGGCTGCCCCAGCTGGGCGGAGGGGAATCGAGGGAGCCGAGTCCCACGGTCCTGGAGTCCGTGGCCGGGGTCAGGACACTCTGGGGCCGGGCCCCTCGCTCTCGTCCTCCGGCTCCATCGCGCAGCACCCCGGCTCCTGCCCCACGGGCCCCTCTCCGGCCGCCGGCCCCCGGCGCACGCGGATGGGGATGGCTCGGCCTGCCGCAGGGCGGGTCGTCCTCCGGCTCCATGGCCCAGCCCCCCGGCTCCTGCCCCACGGGCCCCTCTCCGGCCGCCGGCCCCTGGCGCACGCGGATGGGGATGGCTCGGCCTGCTGCAGGGCTGGGGTTTTGGAGAGATGGGGGGGGAAGGGGGGGCTCTGAGCGCCGCACGAGACACTGTGTGGAGGGGCCCGATCCTGCTCCCCGCACTCACGGCAGAGATGCTCCATGGCCCAGCCCCCCGGCTCCTGCCCCACGGGCCCCTCTCCGGCCGCCGGCCCCTGGCGCACGCGGATGGGGATGGCTCGGCCTGCTGCAGGGCTGGGGTTTTGGAGAGATGGGGGGGGAAGGGGGGGCTCTGAGCGCCGCACGAGACACTGTGTGGAGGGGCCCGATCCTGCTCCCCGCACTCACGGCAGAGATCGGAGTGACTCCGGCGCGGCTGCTGGTGTGAACGCGGTCGGGACGGCAGGCCAGGGACTGGTTGCCCGGGGGCACGGACAAAGCACCGCGCTGTGGCGGGGCCTGTCGGGGGGACTCGCGGATCTCCCCGCACGTGTGTGCGCTGCCGAGCCCGGCCCTGCACCGCACCCCGCCCGGAGCAGCGGGCGCCCCGGGGTGTCTCCTGCCGCTGGGGAGCCCGTTGCCTTGTTGCTCCCGCTCCGAGTGCGGCCTGCCC